TTATGTTAAACTTACAGCAAAAAGTTATTTGCAGAATATCATGTCCATTTTTTATGTTGATGTTATTAAGAACTAGTGTCTTTGGGGCGCAATAATGTTTTTGGTGCACAAGCAGTGGCACGGTTTGACACATGATTGTGCTACAGCACCAGAAACTTATTGCGCCATGAAGACGCTAGTTCTTTATAAAATGCATCGATATAAAAAACGGGCAGGACATTTTGCGCCAAACTTTTTGCTGTAAGTTTAACGTAACTGATTCTTTTTTATGAAGTTGAGATCGTGTAGGTCCCAGACGTCAGTCCCGAACTGTCCCGAACTGTAACACAGCCGAATGTGAAGTAGGTGCTAATACTTTCCCAGAGGTTTTGGGGTCTCTTCAGCTGTTGTTTGTGTCCAAAACAAAACAAAACAAAAAAACCCTAAACAGTTACTTCCTGTGGCGCTTTGGCCCAGAGGCAATGTGTTTAGTCATTATGATCAATAAAAGGAAGTAAACAATGACAAGGACCATGTGTTTATTCACTGTGAGACAGAAACGATCCACACCAAAACAACCCAGGAAGAACGAGTAGAACAGTGTGGTGATGAAATAATGTCCAGTGTATCCGAGACAAGCAAAGAGCCTATCAGGTGAGACAGCAAAGCAGAAGTCATAAAAAAATATATTACAATCAAGGGAATTGTGCTTTTACACTATCTATTTTATTTGACAGTTAATCAGGGGTTAAGAAAATGAAATTTGCGCTTATATTATAAATTGTATAATGTCAAGGACCTTGCTATGTTGCCAAGTACTGCCATGTTCCTAGCAACATGGAGTCAAGCTCCAAACATCTTTTTAGTTCATTTAAATGATCTTTGCACTTTTTTCCACCGTATTTAAAATAAATAGAAAACTGAATAAATGTGGCAATATCGCTGTCCTGCGGTAGGTAAATTGTACAACGAATTCAGTCTTAAAACCTACATAGCTATATAGTGTAGATAGCTCTATACTAGTGATGCCAATTGCTTAAATTTTAATTAGATTAATCACAGGGTAGCTATGAATTAGTCACCATTAATCATGATAATAAATTATCATTATTTAACACGATAAATCAACATTCCTGAACATGACAAAAGCTTTCCGTACACTGCTATAAGTGACAAAAAACACCTGGTAGATTTATTAATATGAGAAAATATCAGGAACATACAGTATGTATGTGTGCTTGTGTATATATATATATATATATATAATAATAATAATAATAATACATTTTATTTCATAACGAGTAGCCCGGTTCGACACATGATCGTGCTAGACTCTAGCACGATCACGTGTCGAACCATGCTACCGCTCGCGCACCAGAAACTTATTGCGCCATGAAGACGCTAGTTCTTTATAAAATGCATCGATATAAAAAACGGGCAGGACATTTTGCGCCAAACTTTTTGCTGTAAGTTTAACGTAACTGATTCTTTTTTATGAAGTTGAGATCGTGTAGGTCCCAGACGTCAGTCCCGAACTGTCCCGAACTGTAACACAGCCGAATGTGAAGTAGGTGCTAATACTTTCCCAGAGGTTTTGGGGTCTCTTCAGCTGTTGTTTGTGTCCAAAACAAAACAAAACAAAAAAACCCTAAACAGTTACTTCCTGTGGCGCTTTGGCCCAGAGGCAATGTCTCTGTCATTGGTGTGGAACCCCAGGGTTCACCTCCTGGGCAGGTTCGAATCCCGGTTAGGGCAGTTAATACCTTCCAGTGGACTCACCACCCGCAGGAAGGTTTGGGGGGGTTGGTACGGTGCAGTGTGATTTGGGTGGCGACTGCTGCCCCCGCGACCCGGTAACGGATAAGCGGATGAAAATGGATGGATGGATGGATGGATGGAGTTACTTCCTTAAGATAACTTCACATTGAGCACAATAACAGTGATCGAAATTATTCATATCATAGACAAACTTGTTTTTAACTTTAAGGAATATTGGAATGGTTTGCCTGCTACAGAATATAGTTGGTTGCATATCCAAACTGATGGAGTTTGCTGTTCTGAGGGTTTGCTTGGTTTTCTATTCCACCATTCTCTTGAACATATATGTCAAGTAACAATACCAAGTAACTTCATCACTTACATAGACTTGTGTATTTCTTTTATAGAAGCAGTAAATATCAATGTCTGCAACTGGTTTGAATATTGACCAGCTGTGTAATTTTAAGATATTTTTGTGATTACTTTTAGAACATTATGCTGCAGGTGTCCTCATCACCTTGCACTCCTACCCTTAAAAAAGTACACCCCCCTGTAAAAGGGGTCAGTAATAAGTACACCAGTTGCTATAATCGCTGGGCATCAGGCCTCCAGTAATGAGAAGGATCAAGTCCACAAACCACCAGATTCCCAAACCTCCCAGCGTCAGCAGCTTCCCGACGGCTGTGCCAGTGTGACCCAGACAGAAACGATCCACACCAAAACAACCCAGGAAGAACGAGTAAAGCAGTGTGGTGATGAAATAGTGTCCGGTGTATCTGAGACAAGCAAAGAGCCAATCAGGTGAGACAGCAAAGCAGAAGTCATAAAAAAATATATTACAATCAAGGAAATTGTGCTTTTACACTATCTGTTTAATTTGAAAGTTACTCAGGGGTTAAGAAAATAAAATTTGCACTTATATTATAAATTGTATAATGTCAAGGACCTAGCCATGTTGCCAAGTACTGCCATGTTCCTAGCAACATGGAGCCAAGCTCCAAACATATTTATAGTTCATTTAAATGATCTTTGCACTTTTTTCCACCGTATTTAAAATAAATAGAATGCTGAATAAATGTTGTTATTTGTAATGCTCAATCATCAAAGTGGTCCTCCAATCAGATAACATTGACAGTAGTAGCTCCAGCTCGTTCGATTTTGAGACCCTTGCTTTACAGCCTGGTCAGAAAGAATCCTTTAACGTAATTACGGTGTTGTCCAACAGATGGTGCTCTAAGGTAATCTGAATAAAAAGAGACCAGAACTGATTCGTTAGTATTTTCTTTTAGATTTTGCTCAGCAGTGTAGTCCAGTTGGGTCTGCATAGCGGTGGTGATTGGTGAAATTAAATAATGAACAAAAGTTTAAAGTTAGTATGTAAAATGTTAAAGAACACTGCAAACACTACTAGTTTGCCCTTTTCTTACGGTTCAGCTTTATTTCTTAATTGCCTGAACAACATTGTATGTTTTTAAGAACAGATAAAATAAAGGAATTACTGACTTTATTAAAATGTCAAAATACTTTATCAAGTAATTTTTAGATTTTATCTAATGATACCTAATTACACTGTTGACGGCCATTGTCTCACATCATGTAAATACGTAAGGCACATTTGTCTGTTGTGTCAGTTTTCGAAAAGACTTACTTGATACAGGGAACATTGTCTCTGAGAAATTCTCTAGGTCCAGCACATTCTATATTATCCAGTGCAGAGCATATGACACGAGTAGTGTTTACTTCCTTCTGTGTCTGGCCTCCCCACTAAAAATAAAAGAACTTCAAATAAGTTATTTTTGAATAAAAACACCACATATTTTAGAATTGTGTATTTCTTACTCCTGCACATCCATGTCCCAACTCCTGCAGAGCAGTGTAGTTTCCTGCATGGTCAATAGGCTCCTGACAGTAGATAAACTCTTCTGGTCTAAAGTAAAATGAGGGGTGTGGGGACAAAGTAGAATTTTTTTGTCAAAAGAGGCTGAATTATTTAGCAACATTTGTTGGGGCCAACAAACCGGGACATGTATATATCCCTGTGGTCCCAAATAGTCTTTCCAAATAATTTAAATAAGTATCCCTGTTATTATATCAGGCTATATCAGTTCTTCATGAACTGAAGCCTCTTGGATGAGAGGTGAAACATCTCTCAAACGTTTCTTTGAGAAGAATTTCACATCCAGTTGCCTAACAGAACTCTTCAACCTCGTCCATGACCTGGATGACTGAGAATCTTCATAGACTATTCATACTATTAATGTCCTTTATGAATCAGTTATACTTGCAATGATATTCAAATGGGTGCAATGACAATGGTAAGTGTTTACTATTGTATGTCCCAGAACTAATTATTATTACATTGTTCGGGAAGTCTGTGTCTAACAAGTAGCTTTCCATATTAGTAAAGAGCCCTTTAAGTAGCTTTCAGTTTCAAAAAGGTTGGTTTACATAAATTGTACAGGGCAATGAAGAAAACATATATATAACATTTTGACTACTCTATAACTTCTATAATACTCTATAATCTTCTGACAATTTTCACAACTGAAAAATATGCACAAATAACAAAATTACTACTGAGAAACTAATATTGGACATACTCGTGTCTTTATGGTTAGACACATTGTCTGCAACAAGTAATTAACTAAATTGAATTAGCCAGGAAGGTGGAGAAGGCGAGAGAAATTGTACTCAAGGAATTCGACAAAGTACCCTTGTGGATTTTTTATTTTGTCATCAACTGATTTGAATAGGTTTGCATACACGCCGTAATTATTAACAGTAGTGAATAGTAACAGTAGTTTGTCTCTAGGTGTTTTGGCGTTTAAAATAGGACGTTAGCATTAGCCTGTGTGCTAACAAAGCGGCGTAACTTACAGGAAGCTGCAGAGAATCACGGGTGACGGGGGCCTGTATTCCAATCTCTCCGTGTCATTGTCACTCTCCACTGTTGAGTCAGGCTGCAGCTGAGGCAGTTCACTGAATGGAAGCGCGGTTGTTAGAGGGCCCGCAGAGGAACCAGTAGTCTCCGAGCTAGTGGTGGTTGTAAACGAGGAATTCTGGGAGTGAATGCCCTCCAGCAACTGAAGCAGAACCACGGAGATCAGCAGAAAGACTTGACCGAACAACAGAATATTACTAACTGAGATCATGTTTCGCCAATGTACATCGTTAAATCTAGTCCAAATATTGTTAGCCAGTTTGTTTGGAAAATCTCTACTGCCTCCTGCTCTTCTTTTACGCGTCTAAGAACGCAGCAAACCACACATTGTGGCAATACCGCCGTCCTCTGGTAGGTAAATTATACAACGAATTTAGTTTTAAAACGTACATAGCTATGTACTGTAGATAGCTCTACACTAGGGATGCCAATCGCTTAAATTTTAATTAGATTAATCACGAGGTAGCTACGAATTATTCACCATTAATCATGATAATAAATTATCACTATTTAACATGATAAATCAACATTCCTAAACATGACAAAAGCTTTCCGTATACTGCTATAAGTGACAAAAAACACCAGGTAGACTAATACAAAAGATTGATTTATTAATATGTAAAAATGTCAGGAACATATGTATGTGTGTGCTTGTGTATATATAATAATAATAGTACATTTTATTTCATAGGCTCCTTTCTGTCACCCAAGGACACCTTACAGAACTACAGTTACAATGATAATAACACCGCATTGAAAAACAATAAAACATTAAAACATTAAGAACAACTTAAAATACAACAATGGAATATGTTGGTGCCGAAAAATACGTTATTCAGCAACCACTATTGTCATCTAACTGCTACAGATAGAATGACCTGGAAAGAACCACACCTGACAACGTTGTGAGTTTTACTCGCTGTGAGTGAGAGCAGAGAGGCCAACAGCTTTGCAGAAATGGCTCACCTAAGTCCCTAAGTGTATGAGGACTACAGCTCCTTTTATTGAGAAAGTTACATAAGTGCTGAGCAGTTGTTTTTGAGTACATTCTTTTTGGGCAAAGTTTACACGATTCACATGGATGATGAGGAGAAGACTTCATCCTTTGCGGAGCACATCGTAAAACATTTCTAGGAGTATGTACAGAATATTTCCTGTGCAAAGCAAGGTCTCCCAAAAAGGGAGCATGTGTTCCTTACAAGCAGATTATGATTTAACACACTTTGATAACTAGCTAGAAATTCTATTTACGAAGAGGGAGCTTGCCACAAAAGCATTGAGATAAAATATGGCTTCCTGATAAAATGATGAATATGTTTGTTAGTGCGAAAGTACATCCATGGACCATGTCAAGTAATTTCCATTCAAAAGTAACACATACCTTGTGGGTGATAGGGTTTGTCTCAGCCCACCTCCTTTGTTGAGTGGTGTTTTTTCCAGGTTGACAAAGGTTTTTGTCCTCGAAGGAGTGTGTTTTGTCCTTGAGGTGTATGTGAACAGCTGAGTCCTGTCCTGAAGAGTTGTCCCTCAGTGTTGCCTAACAGAACTCTTCAACCTTGACCATGACCTGGATGACTGAGAATCTTCATAGACAGAGGTTTAAAATGTTTATGTGCATTGCTATATAACTTATATCCCTAATTCATCCAATGTAAGATATTTTAGAATAAAAGATCAACTTTAATCACCTGGCTCCGGGTGTCGGGAGGCACGACGCAATGTTGCACAGATTTGGGTCACACAACCATACTGTAAAAATTGTTGTTGAGCATATTTTAATTGCCATAACAGGATTTAACGTCAATTCTGGCTCCTAGTGTGCTTCAGTTGTGTGACATGTGAGATGTAGTGATGAGAAGACCGATTCTTTTTATTGATTCGGATCTTTGATTCTCGAACAGTAAAATGAACGAGTGGTGAACGAATCTTGAACGAATAATTTGTTTTACAGCAGGTGGCGCTTTAGCCCTATTGTGGGCGTTGTAAGGAAGGATGCGGTTCTCCGACACTAAAAACTGAAGGCAACATGGTTTGCTTCCGCTGACAAAGTCTACAAAGTACACAAAATGCCATAAGCAATTAAAATCATGTAAAAACATAGGAAAGAAAAACACCACAATGTGAAGATGAACGAGAGCAAAATAGACCCGAGCTCTCTGTTACGTGACAAATGAAACGAATCTGCGACAACGATGCCAAAGATTAGTTTACAGAGAGTGATTTACAGCGAAAGATTAGCTCGCAGAGAGTGATTCGTTCACAGGGAGTGATTGGTTCACAGTGGAAGATAGGTTCACGGCGAAAGATTCGTTCACAGCGAAAGATTAGTTCACAGAGAGTGATTCGTTTGCAATGAAAGATTAGTTCACAGTGAAAGATTAGTTCACAGCGAAAGATTAGTTCACAGAGAGTGATTCGTTTGCAATGAAAGATTAGTTCACAGTGAAAGATTAGTTCACAGCCATAGATTAGTTTGCAGAGAGTAATTCGTTCGTAGTGAAAGATTAGTTTACAGTGAAAGATTAGTTCGCAGAGAGTGATTTGTTCCCAGTGAGTGATTAGTTCGCAGTGAGTGATTCGTGAGTTCAATATGAACAAATATTTCATGACTTGGGAGTCATATGAAAGATTCGATTTCCGAACATCGAACACGACCAGAGAGCTCACACTGTGCGGGTGAAAACGGCTCGTGTAGTGATGTGCGGATCGATCCTGAAATATCGATACTAAAGATTCTGGATCTTTATGCTCTGAAATCGATTCTGAAATCAAAATATCTATACTTTTGATACTTACGCATTCTGAGATGAGGTGTATCCTAAACAGAAACATGGTGAAAAGTATCCAAATTATTGAGATGTTGTCTAAGTGACGCTCGGTTGGTGGGACTACTTCTTCTTCCGGCTGGGTGTGTGCGTCATGCGTAAGTACAGGGGCTCTACTCCGTGCTCTCACTCAGTCACTATTGATGGGAATTTCGGTTCTTTTTTAGAGAACCGGTTCTTTTGGCTCGGTTCACTGAGAAAATCCGACTTTCGGGTCCCAAATGGCTCGTAAGATTATTTATTTTATTTTATTTATTTTTTGTTTTGTTTTACAAATGACATGTTTTGGTGAATAATGAATTAGAAATGTAAAAAAATAAAGACTATCAAATGCTTATTCAATGAATGGCTTCATTTATTCATTCATCTTTATTTAACCTCTGTAAAAATATAGTATGAAATACAAAAACAGAGACCCATCGGAACAGGTTAGGTTGATTGAATAAAAATAAAAGCAGCACTCAGGTAAAAAAAAAAATACCAGTAGTACTATTATAATATAATTCTACTACTACCATAAACTGTTTACAGTAAAAATACACAAGATCAAGATAAAAATATCCATCTGAATTTCACCCCCCCCCCCCTCCCATTCTCTGTAGTGTGTGTGTATGCAACTGTAGCGCATCCCCTCCTCTCCCCCCTGAGCTCCTGCAGGTTGCGTCTGTGTGCGTGCGCAATGCTTCCCTTCCTCCACCCCCTGTTTGTTTGCGAATCGCGCATCACTATTAGTCAAAGTCTGTTTGTAAAATGTCGGAACGCAAAAAATAAGTCACTTTAATTTATTTTGATGTTTTTACAATTGTATTTATTTCTTTTCAGAGTTTGAAACATTGTTTTGACATATTTTATGATTGTGTTCTCAGGTTTTTCTATTGTTGTGTTGACTGTATAGTAAATGAGGCAGCTACCTCAGTACACTCCAGAGTTTAAAATAAATAAATAAATAAAAAACTCTGCCTTGGATTCTTAAAGAAGCTATGATTTGAAATACACATTTTTTTTAATTTAAAAGACAAATGATAAAATATCGGTATCGGTATCGATATCGGTATCGGCGATACCAGCCCGAATTTTACTCGGTATCGGATCGGAAAGGAAATTGGTGGTATCGAACATCACTACCACAGACAAAGAGCTCGAGACACCAAGGATGTACGCTGAGAAGTGGGCGGAGTGTATGACAGTGGCATACCGGATTGCTTCAGAGAACAGCAGGAACTCAAGTGCTCGTGGGAAAAAGTATTATGACAAACACATGAGGAGTGGTGCTGCAACCTGGAGACAGGGTACTAGTACGAAATCTGAGCGAGAGGGGTGGTCCTGGTAAATTGAGGGCATATTGGGAAAATGCTGTGTATGTTGTGAAGGAACAAATCAGAGACAATCCAGTCTACAAAGTGGTCTCAGAGGTGGATGAGAACAAGTCACGAGTTCTGCATCATAATTTATTACATCTCATCAATGACTTACCTATCGATCTGCCGATAAAAAAAGAGAAAGTGAAAACACCATTAAAGAGAAAGGATAGTAAAAAGTCTATAAAACAAGAAAAAGAACTTCAACACAGCAGTGAAACAAGCTCTGATGATGATGACGATTCAATTTAATATGAGCTAAAATATAACCTGAGAAGTGGAAACAGAAAGAGTACCATAACTACCTGTGAACCGGCCTGTGTTCCCCAATCAGGTCAGGCAGAGAGAACACCTGTGAAATCAACAAGAGTACAAAGAGAAACCAAACAAGAGCAAAGTGGTGAACAAAACATTGAACCTAACAGTAATGTTGAAGAGGAGGAAATTGTGAGTGATGCAGAGTATGGGGTAGTTCGGGCATCTGGTACGGGAAGTGAAAGTGAGACCATGCAGCCTGTGTCAGAGGAGATCAGCGCTGGACATGGCCTGACCCCTCAACTTGATGAGCAGACAGTGAGGGGATCAACTAGAGATAGGCGACCAATAGCACTTTTTACCTACAACACACTAGGGCAGCCCTCGCTGCAGGTACAACCATCAGTCAGTAGGGTAGAAGTTTTTGAGACACCAAACATGACACTTTGGGGCATGCAGCCATACCCCCAGACACCATACACTGTTTCAGCAGCACAGTGTATCCCAGTGCCCTACCTGTCACCACCATATAATGCCATGATAAGATTTTATAACATGCCTATCTATCCTTGTTAATGGGCAGTAATTTTAGGGTTTGACTATGGGCGACACTTTCTAAGGGAATTAAAGAGTAAAAGAGGTCAAATGTCAGGAGCCAATTTATTTTTTTGTTGGGGAGTGTGTGACACCTACAAATATGTATGGTCACAAATTTGTAAGTTATTGTGTTTTACATGTTTTGGATGAGAATTGAGGCAGATGTAAAGTGTTTTCAAGAATGTCAGCAGAGTGTAGGTCTGTTACTCTACCACAAGGGGGAGTGTCCTCTAAAGTTAGCGCTAGTTTTAACCTACCAAGTCAGGCTGACATTCTTCAAACAGCTAATAGCCTGCTATGAAGAACATAACCGAGGGCTGTAATTTTAGGTTTGGACTATGGGCGACACTTTCTAAGGGAATTAAAGAGTAAAAGAGGTCAAATGTCAGGAGCCAATTTATTTTTTTGTTGGGGAGTGTGTGACACCTACAAATATGTATGGTCACAAATTTGTAAGTTATTGTGTTTTACATGTTTTGGATGAGAATTGAGGCAGATGTAAAGTGTTTTCAAGAATGTCAGCAGAGTGTAGGTCTGTTACTCTACCACAAGGGGGAGTGTCCTCTAAAGTTAGCGCTAGTTTTAACCTACCAAGTCAGGCTGACATTCTTCAAACAGCTAATAGCCTGCTATGAAGAACATAGTTATTACTAACGTGCTATTCAAAAAAAGACGGCTGCGATACTGTGCGCTGAAAATTCGATAAAGAGGCGCCAGCGCATTTGGAGTCAGAGATGGCTCAATAAACATGGACAGTACATGTATTGTTTTTTTTATTACGTTTATTGTGGACAGTGCCACAGCTCTATCAATCTCGCCTCCATATTTTCATGCCACCGACGCCTCGCCGTGGTTTCACTTTGCGCGCTCGCACTGAGGGAGAAATACTTCGGTCAGCTCGGGGCTCTGCTTCCGCTGTGCGAAAGAATTTATCGGCCGATCAAATTTTCTGACATGTCAGAAATTCTCCCGACCGTCCGACGGTGGTTCGTGAACAGATAATTGGTCCTCGTTCCACTGTACACCGTACGGAAAAAGACGCCCGACGTGAAAACGGGAAATCGGGCCGAGCGTCGCGTGCGTCTCAAAAATCGGGTCAAAAACAATTGGGGCAGTTGGCGGCGTAGTGGTTAAGGAAGAGGTTACCACCAAGGTGCCCTGAGCATGGTATCCTCCCCATACACTGCTGCTCCTACAGCTGCCCCCTGCTGGCTGTGGTGATGGGCTAAAAGCAGAGGTCATATTTTGTGGTGTGCTGTGTCACAATGACAAAAAAACTTTAATTTATTTTGATGTTTTTACAATTGTATTTATTTCTTTTCAGAGTTTGAAACATTGTTTTGACATATTTTATATGATTGTGTTCTCAGGTTTTTCTATTGTTGTGTTGACTGTATAGTAAATGAGGCAGCTACCTCAGTACACTCCAGAGTTTAAAATAAATAAATAAATAAAAAACTCTGCCTTGGATTCTTAAAGAAGCTATGATTTGAAATACACATTTTTTTTATTTAAAAGACAAATGATAAAATATCGGTATCGAATTTTACTCGGTATCGAATTTTACCCGTACACCGTACAGAAAAAGACGCTCGACGTGAAAACGGGAAATCGGGCCAAGCGTTGCGTGCGTCTCAAAAATCGGGTCAAAAACGGGCTAAAATCGTACAGTGTATGCCCGCCGTTACAAGACGCACTGTCGAATTTTGAGAAAATAAAAGGATTTTATGAACGCCTCCTTGTCTGAAAATACGGTTTTAGAGAAAACAATTATTTCTGAGAACATCGTTTTCTCTAAAGATAAGTTTATTTATAAATAAAAGCACCAATATTTGGTCCCACTATGAAAAAATAAACACTTTTATTTAAAGGTCAATACACAGGATCTGTTGGTCTCAGCAGTGTCACTAATGTAAAGAACAAACTAACAACAGTGACCTTATTTTTGTAAAAGTGGTGGTTAAAAAAAGCCAATAAGACTAGACAGATTAAGACTAAACAAATGAAAATGATAATAAAAAAAGTACTGCTTCCTTATCAACACAATGTCAGGCAATAACCTGAAGTTGGGTTGAAATGTAAAAATAATTGACAAAGAAAAGGTGAAAAAGCAAAATACAATATCTTTTGTAGAAGCCAGCCTAAGTTTAACCTTACATCCATGCACCCCCACCCTTACACTCACCAGTGCATCCCAGGTAACACATTCACAGACAAATGAATCTCAATAATAATATTTGTTGCAACAATGGATATAGAATTTCAACATTTAAGGTTATTTTATACCAGTTATTAATATTGTTCTAAAGACATCAGGAGAAATAAACCAATAGTAGCTTCTCTGTGTGGATCACAATAGAGAATTTATGAACAAATCACAGAGGTAAACATGCTTTGATTTGAAGTATTGTAACTACAGTAAATCTGTTCATCAGAGCAGCTGATATTTGTTTTTCCAGCATATGAGTTTTTACCTCAATGTCGCCAATGGAGACAACTGTGATCCACGGGTTGACCTACAAAGTCACACATTGGCAGCACTATGTGAAGAGGTCTGATCAGTAAAAGTGTTTGCGTTTTTTTTCAGTCCAGCATCTATAGGTGAAGAATCCTGCTACCACCATGACAATCAAACCAACGATGGCAAAGAGCAGCATAAAGAAGAACTGAATTTTGGTCATTCCTTCTTCTTCTACTATCACTGAAAAGTAACAGAGGATCCATAAGATTAATTTTCAAACGTTCTTTTCACACAATTTTTTACTTTGTGATCTTGTAATCAGTCTGCAAAAATCATATCATAGAGGGACTGAGTGAGAGGTCTTACCTTCAAACTGTTTCATGTCATCAACTCGGGGTAATGTCACCTCCTCCTCGTTGTCTTTTTCTGCTGCAGTTCTCTCCACCGTCAGCTGGTACAACTTTATGGAGATGAGGTCATGATTGTCTGCAGTGAGTGTGTTAAATACTTAAGCACTTGCACCTGAATAGACTCCCTTCAGTTTTACTGACGTGGAAACATATAACTGAATGAATACTGACAATTGCTGCAGTAACATCGGGATAACGTATGAGTGATTCTTACTTTGATGGAAATGTCCAAGTTTTCCCAATAAACAACGATACAATTTGGGCCCAAATCAGACCCATTCTCTGTTTTCGACTCCTGCCGTGATTTAGTTGAAAAATCTCTCATTCAGATTAAAATCTATGTACAGCTTTAGGCATTAATACATTTTGTACAGCATCCTCTTATTCTATTACCTTCAATTAGAACATAATTGATAGGAAAAGATTAGATACTTGATCAAGTCCAAAACAAAACATTGATCCAAACCTGGTCTCAGAAATAATGAGCTATAAAACTACTGCACTAAGAACATGTCAATGTATTTTGTGTATTTTAAGAAAGAAAAGGGTATGAAACCACTACCCTAACCTAACATGTGCCTAATCCAAATCCTCATGCTAACTTTAATCTAAACTAGGGATAGCTCAATCGGATACTGGTCAAAATTTCAGTATCACCCATTGAAAAAACAGTAGTACGTCCAATTCGAAATGCTCAACCTAACATTGTGCAACATGCTGTAAACAAGAAAATTATCAACTCAGCAACGGCAGCCCATGGCATGCTGGAGGGAAAAAAAGGTATCGAATTCATATCTGTATTGGCAGATACTCCAAGTTGCAGTATCGGACATAAAAGGTTTTATTAAGTCATCTTTAATCTTAACCTTATTTGATTCCTTACTCTCAAACTAAACATAAACTTTAAATACCCTCTCACTCAGTCAGGGCCTGCAAAATGTCCTCCACCAGGACATATTGTCTTCATTAGCAATAGTACGAACATGAACACACACACGCTGACTATTGTGTTTTGTGCACACTTTACAGAGACCCAATATGTTTTCTATATGTTTCTCCTTGAACCATTACAAATATCCTTATATTTATTCAATTACCTCACTATAATTTGACTCAAATTCCTGGGTCATATCAGACTCCAAACTAAAACATACAAGTCTATGAAGATTGTCAGTCATCCAGGTCATGGTCAGGGTTAAAGAAGAAATGTTTCGCCTCTCATCCAAGAGGCTTCTTCAATTCTAACTGGTGGTGGAGAGTACAGCAAATATATACTCTGGGTGTGACAAAGAATAAAGCTACTCCAGCTCCCTGCTGTTGGGAGGGGCCTTGGGGTCAACTGGTCAAATGTAAACAGTCCTCCAACTGCCTCCAACAGCTGGAAACGGATAAACTCATCGATAGACCACTGTACCACCGGCTATATCGGGAGAAGCCATTCCCCGTATTTATGGTCTCCCCCAAATCCACAATGTAGGCACTCAGACCTATCAACAGCAGAATCAATTATGTCACTTATGATATCACCTCACAGGACATCTCTAACAAGATAAGGGGCCTAAAACTGGACACGGATGAGACCATGGTCTCTTACGACATCACATAAATTTTTACATGTATCCCCACTACAGAAACAGCAGCAACAGTGAGGATGCACTTACTATAAGACCACACGCTGAGGGTAAGAACTAACCTGACCATTGATCACATTTGTGCCCTTCTGGATTTCTGCCTCACCACCACTTACTTCCAGTTCAACGAGTCTTTCTACAGACGAAAGCATGGCTGCGCTATGGGCTCTCCTGTGTCTCCCATAGTGGCGAATCTCTACATGGAGGAAGTTGAGCTTTGTGAGCTATGTGTACATATACCGATGGACGCTGTTAAGAAATTACAAAGAAGTGTTTGATCACAGAGCATGTGAATTGTTGAATTGATTGGTTGACAGGTACCTGACAGTTCTCCAGTAGCAGCAGAGGCACCAAGGTAATAACCTAAAGGCAGTCTCAGTCCTGTGATGTCAGCACATATCCTCCACTCTTGCTTTCCATCCACATCCACCATCACCTGCAAATGAAGAACGAATAAAAAAGCTGAGGTATATCTAATTAGTAATTGTTTTTTACTGAAATTTTTGTAACTTCTAAAATGTTTTAGCAACCTCTTTTCTAATTCCTATTTCTCTAACTTCCAAATAAATAACTGATAAAATATCTGAGAGCATATATCTTTATAATTGGCAAAGAATATGTAAATATACAGGGACAAAATGTCTTTTTATGAGGTAAAGCTATAAAAAGTATAAATAAGTGTCAAAGGTCGTGGGAGACTTAGGAAATAATCAGGTAAATGGTGCCAAAAAAGTAACCTCAAATAAAAAAGCCAGTAAGAACAGTCATCCAATTACATTATAAAACCTTAATTTGTTTACAAAACAAACACACATAAAAATGAAATAATATTGTTGCGTGTCAATTCCCCAAACAACAAACCAAAAAATTATTGGAAATCATTGCAATTAATTTCTAAACAGTAAAGGGTTAGGCTACTAAATTATGCATAAAGATGCCACTCAAATGTAATGACAAATCAGTCACACACAAAAGAGTTGTTTTTTGTTACTCCAATGTTACCGTGAGCCTGTTTTTTGTGTATTTGATAAGGAGGAAGTTGTCATAGATGGAGTTTCGAGCCATAGCTGCACACCCTCCCAGTTCAGAAGGTCGACCATCCTGATTATGATTGTATGACAAAGTTCCATTTCCCAACGTCACTGATATATATGGGAAAGTTCTCTGTAAAAAGAAAAAAAAACAACATTCAAAGATCTGCATATCAAAATGACAATGGTCATAATGAAAGGAAATGATGTGATGGACGGCCATGACAGATTCACATCACAACAATACTTCTTAAGCAACACAAATACTGTTAAGTTTTAAGGACACATCTATTATCATGAAATGTATTTTAATGTTAATCTGTTTTCATGAACAAAACATGCCAGTATTTAAACTAACAGGATAGAAAAGGTAGGAAAAATGTTGGGGGTTTCTGTTTCTCACTTACATCAAATAATTTCTCAGAGTTTGGATATGTGTCCACAAATATTCCGAGTCCAACAAAGTAATTTTTGCTCCCAAACACAGACCCTGTCAAGAGACAGTGATGACGATAATGATTCAACAAGATCTTTCAACTGTGATAACAAACAGCTTCTTGCTGAAGACTCGTTGATATGTGAGAACATTATATTTTTTTTTCAGTATATTTGTCGCCAACAAACAGCTGATATTAATCTGACATGTTTCGTGTTTGGAGGTAAGGTAAAATAGTTGCTGGGCAATAATCCTTAACCTAACTCTAAAACGCTTTAAATTCTGTTTAAAAATAGAAATTCTGTTCTTATGGTGAAAACTTTTGGTTAAACCAAATAGGTGTGCCTGTAGCAGATCGGAATGTGTTGGATTTGAATTTCTGCTATATATGGTATTTGGATGGAACCATATAAAGAGCTGTGTCGCTCAGGTATTGTCTGATGCATTGACCCAAAAAGCTCATAACATGAAACAAGAGTTTACACACTGCAGTCAAAGTGGAGTGGAGTTAAAAAATAAGCTATCTCTGCTGTTAGGGATCCACACTTCTGTACTGAAAAGAGAGAACTGAATTCAAATGAATAAAAGTGTTCACTTTTAGAAAATAAAAAACCAACAGCTGGTTAATTTACATGAAGAATTTTCTGTGGTTTGAATTTGGTATGTTTATAACATGCAATTTAAAATTGGGCGAAAAAAGTAAATAGGTCCTGTGGACATTACGCACAATATTATTTAAATGTGCTATTTAGTGCAATTGAACAATTTAACCATTTTCTTAAAATGTAAACATTGTTTGCATACATATATCAATTAGTTAAAAATAAACAATAAATTAAATTTATGATAACCATAATTTCCGGACTACAAGGTGCTACTTTTTTCACATGCTTTGAACCCGTAATTTCCGGACTACAAGGAACCCCACTACTTAAACAATGATGCAGCTAATTTATGGATTTTTTCGGGCTAGCGAAGTTCATACCACTAGCGATCAATTACTTTTCTGGTAGGCTACTGTGTGTTATATTAGTAGTGTATGTTGCCTAATAGCTCTGTCATGTTGAAGCGTGAGTTGCTTATACAGGAGCTGTTAAAACGCTTTTTATGTACTGTTGTGCTCGGTGTGGCTGATAATAAAGACGCCAACTTCCCTGTTTCTGTTTACCTCTGTTGTAGACAAGCACAAAGTGAAGGGAGTTAGCCCCAGAGCTAATGTTATCTTCAGCCGTGGAGCAGATCACTACGTCTCCCCTGTGCATTTTAACTATGGTCGAGGCGCCGAAACAGGAAAGAGGTAATGTGTAACCAGCCGTGTCACAGGCACTGTTCGGAAAAAAATCATTTATTAAATTAAAGTGGAAAGAAATCTTTCTGTGCAAATATTTCATGTTGTGGCTTATAGATAAGGTATAGTCTATATATGTACAATTATTTTTTTCTTTTTAAATTTAGTGGGTGGGGCCTATATTAAGGTGTGCTCAATAGTCCGGAAATTACTATAGATGATGTAGAACTCCACAGCCCCAAAGAGGTGATGGTAATAATGACAAATATGTTAAAACTGAAGAATACAGAGGAAATTGCATAAATTCTTAAGCAACTGTCTGACTTTACAAAAAGATTAAGTCTAATGAGATTATTGGCCAAAAATGATGTTCAATTCCTGTTTGTCTTTTTGTTTTACATGCTGACTCTCTGTTCCTACCATCCTGCATACGATCTTTGGTCAACCAGATTGCCATTCCATCTCCGTTTAGATTCTTCTTTGCCAGGCCATGGATTTTAAAATGTACCTTCAGCTCCCAGTCCCTCAAGACAAGAGGCTGAACAGCAGTAGTGGTTAAAAAAAGAGAGAGAGATGGGGAGCGAGAGAGAGAGAGAGGTTCAGACAAAAACAGGTTTATCCTGCACTCTGACATAAATAGCGCGTATCTGTCAACCACAGACCAATCAGTCAGTCAGAATGTTGTGTTCAGAACTTGCAATAACAAGTGACGTGGCCTTTGTTGAAGTCACTCAGCAAGGTAAATGACAATGTGGAGATTGAGCTGGTAATCACAGAAGCATATGGAGACATTCTTCACATGTATGAGGCTAATTATGTCTTAAATAAAGACTGAAGAGTAAACATCTCCTGAGCTGATGGCCACTAAACTGCTGCACTTTCATAAAATTCCAGTTGCTTTGTACTTTGAAAAACAGAAACTGTCACTGGCATATGTTCTTACTTAATTGGTCTTTAGCTTCTATAAAAATGCAAATAAAATATGCATTTTAATCGATTGAAACCATTAAAATGCATATTTTATATCTGTACCTACTCTGTCCTGCTTTTTAATTACTGTAGTTGCAAGTTTAGTAAATACTCTTGTTTGGTTAGTTATAACTCTAACCTGTTCACACCTGCTTCCAATTGCCAAATATATCCCTGCCTCGTGGTAATATCAAATTTCTAATGCTGTTTATGTCACTAAGTCAGAACCACAGGGAAAATTACTTCACTTTTGCAGTACCAGATAATACTAGATTTTAACTGGCCTCAAATCTGCAGCCAATGCTTAGTAATGAAAGACACACTGTGAGTCTCTGTGTGAAAGTAGACATTGTTAATATTAGACGTTGTGGTGTCCTCCAAGTGTCACATGCAATTAAAGTGATTGATGTTTGTAAGTGTACCAGTCTAAAACACTATGTTGGTGGTAAACTTACGATCCGACTCCACACAGCTCCCTGTCTACTCTGCAGATCTGGGGTCAGTCTCACATGGTCAGTCGTCACCATGGCAGTGCCCATCAGATCCCACTGTGAAGAACTGGAGAAGCCCAAACCTGAACAGCATCAATAAACATTAGTATTTATTTGTATTAGTATACTTTGAGTGTTGCTAAAATAGTGGATGTAATATAAATTTTTAATAGATAAATATTTATAAATATTTCAAGAAATTCAAATTGAGGTTATTTAAATGTAACAATTACAATTAACAGTATTTGAGGCAACAAAAAGTCGGATGTCAACCTAAAAACTGAAATACGTTGTAACGCTGGCTGTAATCCTATATGAGTTAAACATTGTTAAAGATTACCTGGGGCTCTGTAACACCAGTGGAATGAGAACTTACCTCTGTAGGGCTTGCTCAGGCTATATTCTCGCTTTAAAAACTCCTCCTGAAAGTCCAGGTCAATCCCCTGACAATCCCTCGTCATAAAACAAACGGTAACGAACAAACACGAACATTTCAATACGTTTCTAAAAAGAAACATTGTGGTAAGTGGTAGAAGTTTCCTGGACAAAGTCTGACTCTCCTCAGTTAATGTGGACAGTCACCACTACGGCTTCTTCTACTGACACCAGCGCTGTATCTACGATGATTTCCGCCTTCTTCGTGGGTTAGTCACGGGCAACCAAACAACAAAAACAGCCGAGTACGCCGTCATTTGGTGTAGCGATTAACAAGGAAGTATCTGGTCGCCAATTTACCTTTATTTATTCATTTATTATACGTTTTATACTTACGTATTTATCTTAACCTGTAGCAATACATTAATTGGAAGTTCTCATCTGGCAGCTCTATTGTCAGTTAACAATAACCTTTTCTCGCATTGTTCTCTGTCAGCCACTCATGTCTGCGCTATTACAGCTGTAGTATCAAGACACATTTTACCACATTTGGGACAGACACAAATGTCAGATTTCAGAAATCAGGATTTAGTACATTTGGCCCACGGAGAACAATGAGGTTCAAAATTTGACCAACGGGCCGTCTCAGAATTGATTTGATGTAGAATTTATGTGTTAAATAATAATAAAATAAACAAGAAGCCTAAAATTGAAAGACCCCCATTCCCCATTTTGACAGTAAATCAACGTTGGTAACTCTCAGAACAGATCTCAGGTCTTCATAATTAAATTGGCAAGTGGCCAGTTTGTTGTTTTGCACTTTGTCTGCTTTCATACATAGGTTGAACTACTCAACACCAACATCCTCTGTATGAAAACTTGATTTTAATTTAATAAAACAAATTCACTTTAAGGGATTGAACTTCTCCTTTAAGACCACTTCAAAAGAGGATTGTCTAAAACAAGTCCGGTTGCCCTCGGTGTCTGCTTTGGATAAGATAACCTGGATGAATAAACGTCCTTTAAGGTAAATTACAATGAATTTGATATTCTGTTTGTGTTCTCAATAAAAAATATCCATTACTTATATTGATGTTAGTTATCACCTATATTCACAATACCTTTTATGACTAGAACTAACTTAATTATTTATATATTATGTGCATAATATATGGAGGGTGTTAGATTCTGCTCATTTTACTGAAATCTCTCTATGTCTTCTTTTTCTTTCTGCTTTGTCCCTTTTTTTCAGGGGTTGCCACAGCAAATCATTGATTTCCATCTCTCCCTGTTCTCTGTATCTTCTACTCTGACTCCAACTATCTGCATGTCCTCCCTCACTGCATCCATATATCTCCTCTTTGGCCTTCCTCTCTTTCTCCTCCCTGGTAGCTCCATCTCTAACATTCTTCTACCAATGTATCCACTGTCCCTCCTCTGCACATGTCCAAACCATCTCAATCTGGCTTCTCTAGCTTTTTCTCCAAACCTTCCTGTCTGTGTTGTCCCTCTAATGACCTCATTCCTGACCCTGTCCATTCTTGTCACTCCTAAAGAGAATCTTAGCATCTTTAACTCTGCCACCTCCAGCTCCTCCTCCTGTCTTCTGCCTATTGCTACTGTCTCTAAACCATACATCATGGCTGGTCTCACCACTGTCCTGTAAACCTTTCCCTTCACCTTAGCTGACACTCTTCTGTCACAGATCACTCCTGACACTTTTCTCCAGCTGTTCCATCCTGCCTGTACTCTATTCTTCACCTCTCTTCCACAGTCTCCGCTGCTCTGAACAGTTGATCCTAAGTACCTAAACTCCTGCACCTTCACCACCTCTGCTCCTTGTAGCCTCACTATTTCACTGTTCTGCCTTTCGTTTACACACATGTACTCTGTCTTGCTGCGACTGACCTTCATTCCTCTTCTTTCTAGTGCAAACCTCCACCTCTCTAGGTTCTCTTCTAGCTGCTGCCTACTCTCACTACAGATCACAATGTCATCTGCAAACATCATAGTCCATGGGGACTCCTGTCTGACCTCATCTGTCAATCTGTCCATCACCACAGCAAACAAGAAGGGGCTCAGGGCCGATCCTTGATGTAGTCCCACCTCCACTTTGAAGTCTTCTGTCCTCCCAACAGCGCACCTCACTACTGTTGTACTATTCTCATACATGTCCTGCACCAAACTAACATACTTCTCTGCCACTCCTGACTTCCTCATACAAAACCACAATTCCTCCCTTGGCACTTTGTCATATGCCTTTTCTAGATCTACAAATACACAATGCAGCTCCTTCTGACCTTCCCTGTACTTCTCCATCAACATCCTCAAGGCAAATATTGCATCTGTGGTACTCTTCCTAGGCATGAAACCATACTGTTGTTCACAAATCTCCACTTCCTGCCTCAACCTAGCTTCAACTACTCTTTCCTAAATCTTCATTGTATGGCTCATCAACTTTATCCCTCTGTAGTTGTTACAACTCTGTGCATCACCCTTCTTATGAATTGGCACCAGAACACTTTTTCTCCACTCATCAGGCATCTTGCCAGTCTCTAAAATTCTGTTAAACAAACCAGTCAGGAAATTTACTGCCACTTCTCCTAAACACTTCCATACTTCCACTGGTATGTCATCAGGACCAACTGACTTTCCACTCTTCATCCTCTTCAGGGCTTTTCTAACTTCATCCTTTCTAACCTGATCTACCTTCTTCCTACTAGTCTCTGGCTCCTCGTTTCTACTTTCCCTTTCATTTTCCTCATTTAACAACTCCTCAAAGTATTCCTTCCATCTTCTCAGCACACTTTCCTCACTTGTGATCACATTCCCCTCTCTGTCCTTAATCAACCTCACCTGCTGCACATCCTTCCCAGCTTGATTTCTCTGTCTCGCCAATCTATACAACTCCTTTTCTCCTTCCTTTGTTTCCAAACTCTCATACAACTCCTCATATGCCTTTTGTTTGGCCTTGGCCACTTCCCTCTTCACCTCCCTTGTCCTCTCTTTGTACTCCAGTCTGTTCTCTTCTGTTCTGTCACTGTCCCATCTCTTCTTCGCTAATCTCTTTCTCTGCACACTCTCCTGGATCTCCTCATTCCACCACCAGGTCTCTTTGTCCTCCTTTCTCTGCCCAGAGGACATACCTAGCACCTTCCTACCTGTCTCCCTCATCACTGCAGCTGTAGTCTCCCAATCATCTGGGAATATCTCAACACTACCCAGAACTGCCCTTACTTCCTTCCTGAAGTCTTCACAACATGTCTCTTTCCTTAGTTTCCACCACTTGATCTTCTGCTCTGTCTTCACTCTCTTCCTTTTTGTCACCTCCATCGTCATTTTACACACTACCATCCGATGTTGTTTGGCTACACTCTCACCTGCCACCACCTTACAGTCTCTAATCTCCCTCAGATTACATCTTCTACATAGAATATAATCTATCTGTGTGGACCTGCCTCCACTCTTGTAAGTCACCCTATGTTCCTCTTTCTTTTGGAAATATGTGTTTACCACAGCCATTTCCATTCTCTTTGCAAAATCTACCACTGCCTGTCCTTCTACGTTTCTCTCCCTAACACCAAACCTGCCTATCACTTCCTCATCTCCTCTGTTCCCTTCCCCTACATGACCATTTAGGTCTGCTCCAATCACCACTCTCTCTCTCCTGGGGATACTCTCTACCATCCAATCTAGCTCCTTCCAGAACTTCTCCTTTTCTTCCAACTCACAGCCCACCTGTGGGGCATAACCACTAACAACATTAATCATCTCTCCTTCTACTTCTACCTTCACACACATCAACCTGTCTGACTCTCTTTTCACCTCTACCACATTTCTTACATATTCTTCCTTTAGGATCACCCCTACTCCATTTCTCTTCCCATCTGAACCATGATAAAACAGTTTGTAGCCTCCTCCAATGTTTCTAGCCTTACTGCCCTTCCACCTGGTCTCCTGCACACACAAAATATCTACTCTTCTTCTCTCCATCACATCAGCTATTTCTCTACTTTTCCCTGTCATTGTACCTACATTCAAAGTTCCAAACTTCAGACTAACACTTCTATTCTTCATCTTTTCTCTTTTTCTCCTAACCAAACGCCCTCCTCTTCTTCTCTGTCTCTGACTCTGTCTCTGACCAACAGTAGTCCAATTTCCATCAGTGCCCTGTTGGTCAACGGCACTGTTGGCGGTCGTTGTTAACCCGGGCCTCGACCGATCCGGTATAGAAATCGTTTTATTGATCTGCATATTTGATTTAGCTAAACGTTTTACGCCGGATGCCCTTCCTGACGCAACCCTCACCATTTATCTGGGCTTGGGACCGGCACTATAAACCCAGCTTCGTGTACCCTAGTGGCTGGCTGAAATCTCTCTATGTGTGAGTCAGATACTTTGCGTTCTTTTATGGAGCAAATAGGAGGCTTTAGGCTTAACTCGTATTTATTACATAATTGGCAAAATAGACAGTTCCAGAGCTCTGGGTCAGATCTACGCGTCCCTGCCATGAGATGTCAGTTCACGAAGTCTGACCAACTATCTTTCCCTGACCTAGGTTTTTAAGAGTTGTGCATGCAAACGTCTGACTGGATGTCCTTATCCATGTTTTTGGGATTCTGCTTCACTTCTGCTGCTGTTACAGGTGCTCCCGTCGTGAAACTCAACGGTTACCGTGACCATCACTCAGATGTACACACTATCATGATTTATAAAGGACTGTTTTGTTCTCCAAATGCCAGGTTGTTCTAGCCTATATCTTAACAACAGAAAGAATACATATATCTTGTCATGCTACACACAATTGTCACATAATTACTCTGTACATTTCCACTCTTTGTCACACAAATACTCAGTAGTTTTCCTTTCTTGAAGTTTAACATTTATGATGCAATAATTTCATTATTTTATATTATTTCATTATTATTAGTTTATCATAATATTATAATCATAATAATTATTCTGCCCCTGTTTTTTTGTGTGGCCATTACAATAGCTCGGCAGATAGCTAACAGCTCTCAATAAAGAAGCACAAGTTTCCTTTTTGCAGTCTTTACTGAAAGATCAATCTGTAAAACTGAATACACATACAGCACATGTCAGTCATGCCAACATATGTTTATTTATAACATAAAAAAGAGCCATATTAAACTTTAAACTAAAAAACAACTCCGCTAGATCAATGCTAACATGCATGTGAATTCCCGTTATGATGCTAACCATTAGCATACGCGGATCGGCAAACATATAAATGACTATAATATGTCTACAGATATGTAGTTACATATATATATATATATATATACATGTAGTTACACACACACACACACACACACATATATATATATACACAGTTACCCAACATATAAACATGAATATACTCACATTTACAGACTGTGTGAATAAATGAAAAGACGTGTTGTGCTGAGTTGCGGCTGTGATCTCTGTCCAGTTCTGAACCAACTACAGGAACACCACAGGCTCAAACTACTATTACTGCAAGATATCCAGAAATGCAAAATAGAAACCAGAACATCATAATAATAATCATATCTTTACAAGAGCCACCTAGTGACATTAACTGAAGTTATAGTAAATGCTTTGAAATTTAGGAAGAAGATGGATTGAACTCAGTCTTTACCATAACATGGACAACCTGTAACAAAGTTTGACAGGCCAGATTAGAAAGTCCAACGAGTCGTATCCAGCCCACAGGCATTAGTGAGCCCATGTCTGCCTTAGACAAACAGCATAATATAATCTAAACTGTAAAATCTGAAACACATTCTATGAAATGTTTTTAAACATTTACACATTACAGCATGTAAAAAGCTAGAGAAAAAGAAAAAGATAGAGAAGCCAGATTGAGATGGTTTGGACATGTGCAGAGGAGGGACAGTGAATACAGTGGTAGAAGAATGTTAGAGATGGAGCTACCAGCTAGGAGAC